ACTCCATTCCTTCTATGGGATTCTTGCCCACAATAGTAGATATGATAATCATCTGAGCTGAATTCGCCCATTCCTGTCCATTTTAGTTCACTGACGCCCAGGATGTCGATGTTTATTCTTCCCATCTCCTGTTTGACCACCTCCAGCTTCCCAATGTTCATAGATCTCACATTCCAGGTTCCTATACAATATTTTTCTTTGCAGCATTGGATTTTCCTTTCACTTCCAGGCATGTCCACAGCTGAGCGTCCTTTCGGCTTTGGCCCAACCACTTCATTAGCTCTGGGGCTACTTGTACTTGTCCTCCGCTCTTCCTCAGTAGTATGTTGGACACCTTCCGACCTGAGGGGCCCATCTTCCAGCGTCATATCTTTTAGGCTTTTGTTTCTGATCATGGGGCATTCTTGGCAAAGATACTGGAGTGGCATTGCCAGTTCCTACTCCAGGTGGATTGCGTTTAGTCGGAACTCTCCACTATGACCTGTCCATCTTGGGTGTCCCTGCACGGCATAGCCCATAGCTTCTCTGAGTTGCTCAAGCCCCTTCGCCACGACAAGGCAGCAATCCATGAAGGGGAATGAACTCCCATGGCGGTAATTATGCAAAAGCGATGTGCTGTTTTGCATTTGCCGTTCCATGAGAAGACTTCCGTTAGGATTTTTGATCTAAGATAAGATTCAGGAACGTGGGGCCCTCTAGAGATGGTCGGATTATATCTCCTATCATCTTTGACACTGGCCATGTCTGCTGGGGCTGATGGGAGTCAGAGTACAATGTCTCTTAATAAGTCCAATGACCGTCGTATCATTGGACTTATCTTGAGGATCACAGGTTTCCTTCCCTGGTCTGAGGACACAAATCTCACTTGAGGTTCGAATCCTGATAGCATCCACATGAAGGATGAGAGGAAAGGGGTAGCCATGGGAAGGGCCCTACTTCAGCACTAAGGCACATGTTCTGTGCCGAGAAAATCTCAAATTCAGCTTCAGGCTAGGGACTGGATTCAGAATTTAGCCTGAAAACCTAGAAAGCTGCTCTCGTGCGGCTTTCTTGTTTTCCTTTTTAGAGTGCTGTGAAGAATGACTGGTATGAGACCTAAGCAGGATAATTTTGTGGGGGAGAGTGGTAGTTCATCCACTCTGGATCCTAGTCTGAACTTTTACAGAAACTCACCAAGGGGCTGAACCTAATTTGTGGGATGGAGTTCGACATCTTGGATCGCTGCTGAAAAGAGCAGACTATAACGTGGAGAGGATTTGCTGCCCTCCCCCCAGCAAAACACACAACATCTTGGACCCCACCAGAACCCTCTGCTGAAGGACCCCTTTGATAGGAAGATGCCCCTGCATTTCTGCACCAATTCCTGTTGTGCTTCTTGTGTCCCTTCTGTGTAATCAACATCGCTGGAGTATCCTCTTACCCATCAACCCACAAGCTTGAAAGAAAAGCTTGGGTCCATATTCAGCCATTTTTGTGGAAAAGGCCTCCAGATGGAGCAAACATTAGTGTACCTCAGTGTCAGGAAACAATAAAGAGAACGGACAACGTTCTGATAAAACCAGAATGGCTTGAATACCTGATAAAAAAGTCAAGGTCCTCATATTTTCAGAAGAAATGGCCCTCTTAGCATGCCTTTTATTTTTATTTTTATTTATTTTATTAGATTGTTACCCTGCCCATCTAGGCCAAAGGTCTACTCTGGCCTGCCTTGATCATCATCACATACAGTGGTGCCCCGCATGACGACGATAATCCATCCCATTGAAATCGCTGTTTTAGCGAAATCATCATGCAAAATCCGTTTCCCCATTGGAATGCATTGAAACCCATTTAATGCGTTCCAGTGGGGAAAATACCTCGTCGTCCAGCGAAGATCACCCATAGGGCAGCCATTTTGCAAGTGCCGATCAGCTGTAAAAATCATCTTGCGAACAAATGGTTCACGAAGACTGGACCAAATCATCGTCAAGCGAAAATCCCCCATTGGAATGACTGTTTTGCGAATCGCTATAGCGATCACAAAAAGTCATCGTTCTGTGGATTCGTCATTTAGCGGGGTCGTCATCTTGCGAAGTACTACTGTATATCCCAACTTAGGTATGAATCTTTTCCTCCAAATATCATCTTGCGAACAAATGGTTCACGAAGACTGGACCAAATCATCGTCAAGCGAAAATCCCCCATTGGAATGACTGTTTTGCGAATCGCTATAGCGATCACAAAAAGTCATCGTTCTGTGGATTCGTCATTTAGCGGGGTCGTCATCTTGCGAAGTACTACTGTATATCCCAACTTAGGTATGAATCTTTTCCTCCAAATATAATTTAGGTAAAGGTTCCCCTTGACATTTAGTCCAGTCGTGTCCGACTCTAGGGCGCGGTGCTCATCCCTGTCTCCAAGCCCTAGAGCCAGCGTTTGTCCAAAGATAGTTTCTGTGGTCAGTGTGACTACACACAGAACACCGTTACCTTCCCACTGAGCTGGTACCTCTTTATCTACTCCCAGTTTTTCATGCTTTCGTACTGCTAGGTTGGCAGGAGCCGGGACAAGCGACGGGAGCTCACTCCGTAACGTGGATTCGATCTTATGACTGCTGGTTTAACCCGCAGAGCCACCAGGTCCCTAAAAACATAATTTACATAGCTGCTAGTAGTGGACCTAATGATGTAGCAAAGAAAAAGGTCCCCTTGACATTTAGTCCAGTCGTGTCCGACTCTAGGGCGCAGTCCTCATCCCCAAGCCCGTCTCCAAGCCCTAGAGCCAGCGTTTGTCCAAAGATAGTTTCCGTGGTCAGTGTGACTAGACACAGAACGCTGTTACCTTCCCACCGAACTGGTACCTCTTTATCTACTCCCAGTTTTACATGCTTTCGTACTGCTAGGTTGGGAGGAGCTGGGACAAGCGACGGGAACTCACTCCGTCACGTGGATTCGATCTTATGACTGCTGGTCTTCTGACCTCGCAGCACAGAGGCTTCTGTGGTTTAACCAGCAGAGCCACCAGGTCCCTAAAAACATACTTTACATAGCTGCTATATCGTTCTGTGGATTCGTCATTTAGCGGGGTCGTCATCTTGCGAAATACTACTGTATATCCCAACTTAGGTATGAATCTTTTCCTCCAAACATAATTTAGGTAAAGGTTCCCCTTGACATTTAGTCCAGTCGTGTCCGACTCTAGGGCGCGGTGCTCATCCCTGTCTCCAAGCCCTAGAGCCAGCGTTTGTCCAAAGATAGTTTCTGTGGTCAGTGTGACTACACACAGAACACCGTTACCTTCCCACTGAGCTGGTACCTCTTTATCTACTCCCAGTTTTTCATGCTTTCGTACTGCTAGGTTGGGAGGAGCTGGGACAAGCGACGGGAACTCACTCCGTCACGTGGATTCGATCTTATGACTGCTGGTTTAACCCGCAGAGCCACCAGGTCCCTAAAAACATAATTTACATAGCTGCTAGTAGTGGACCTAATGATGTAGCAAAGAAAAAGGGGACTGTGCCAGTAAAAGCAGAACATGAGTTGATAGAATTGCACTCCTGGAAATGACTCAGATTACAGTGGTGCCTTGCTTAATGAGCGCACTGTTTAACGACAAATCCGCATAGCAATCTATTTTTTTAGATCGCTAATGCGATTGCATTGCGATGTTTTAAAGGGTAAAACATCGCATTGCGATGATCGGTAAGCGTTTCACTTACCGATCTTCGCACTGCAATGTTTTTTTTAACAGCTGATCCGCGGTTCCAAAATGGCCGCCGGGTGCCCAAAATGGCCACCGCAAGTGTTTTCGCACCCTGCCCTCGCTTACCGAGGGTGCGAAAATGGTGGCGCTATGGAGGAACTTCGCTGAACTGTGAGTTTGGGCCCCATTGAATGAAGTTTACTGTGTTCCTATGGGTTTTTTCGATCCGTTTAGGAATGGATTAACGTCGCTATGCGGGGCACCACTGTATACTGTATGCGATTTGCTTTAATGCAAGGCAGGGATTTCCGTGCACCTTGTTTTCAAAGGTGAATTGCACTCCTGGAAATGACTCAGATTATATGCAATTCTGCTTTAATGCAAGGCAGGGATTTCCATGCACCTTGTTTTCAAAGGAAAATTATACTTTCATCCCTCTTTGCTCCTCCACCTCTGAGTGCAAGTTCTGTGGGGTTTGGGAGGGACCATTGCAGCTCACCCCCCACCTTAGGTGATGCCTTTTTTTCCCAGTGCAGGGCATAACCACTTGATGTCCCATTTCCCTCCACTGTAGACTCATGTCATCATTCTTTATTCCAGAACCGGACAAGCACATTTGGACAAAAGAGGAAAAGCTAACCTTTCCAAAACCTGAGAAAGTGGCCGTCCCTGGAATATCATTGACGAGAGACCATCCGGTATCCCCACAGGGCCCTATGGTAGATGAGAGGGTTACAGGTCACGAAGGAGGCAATATTCGGTCTTCAGATCAGGCCGAGGAAACAAAATGGCAAGGTTTCTTTCATGAGACTTGTGTTGAGGGTTTACAGAGAAGTATCTTGCAAGAGGGACGTCTGAAACAAATAAGGAAGAAGACAGTGACGGAAGGTGGGAGAACCTGCTCTCTCAGCACAGTCCTTCACAAGAGTCGGAAAGCGCCAAAACTGTACGAGTGTACTTACTGTCGGAAACTCTGTACCAACAGCGCCCACCTGGTTATACATGAGAGAATCCACACAGGCGAGAAACCCCACAAGTGCTCAGAATGTGGGAAAAGCTTCACCCAGAAAGGGAATCTCACCAGTCACAAGAGAATCCACATGGGAGAGAGACCCCACCAGTGTCGAGACTGTGGGAAAAGCTTCAGCCGGAGGCAACAGCTTATGAGACACGAGAGGATCCACTCAGGAGAAAAACCCTATAAATGCTCTGACTGTGGGAAAAGCTTCTGTAGGAAGGACTCCCTTATTACACACAAGGGAACCCACATTAGAGAGAAGCCGTCAGATTCCTGTGACTAAGGGGAAAGCTTCGCGTCCAGCTTTTATATCTTAAAAAATACACGTCATGCTTTCGCACTGAGAGAATCCACAGGTATTTTCCAAATGGAAAAAGTCAATTATGCTTGTGATTTACTAATTGTTTAAGCATCAGACATGGGCTTGAGATGTCCCATCTCAAATCTCAGTGAGTGTTCTTGGCTGTTGATCTAAGATATTGCTAGATGGCACTTTCCATCATCCTTGACCAATGGTTGCGCAGGCTGACATGGTTCATTTTGTGGTCCAGCATCATCAAGGGGGCAAAAGTTGGGAACCAGAGATCTTATCAGGCACACACAGTCAGCCTAGACTGCCTCATAAGGTTGTTGTGAGAATAAAATGGCAAGTGGCAAAACCAGATTTTCTTCCCTATGCCTCCGCCATAAAGGGAAATTCAGAAATATAAGGAAGAATGCTTCCTGTATTTATGGAACAAACAGACGTGATGCATGGATATTGAAGCCATTCTAGGAGAATCCTTTGTCCTCCAGATGTTGTTGGCCTGTAGCTCACATAATCTGTAAGCGCTGGGCTGATGGGATTTGAAATTCAACAGCATCTAATGCACATAATCTGTAAGCGCTGGGCTGATGGGCTTATGCAATGGTTCCCAACCTTGGGTCCCCAGATGTTCATGGCCTACAACTCCCAGAAATCTTGGCCAGCATAGCCAGTGGTGAAGGTTTCTGGGAGCTGTAGTCCAAGAACATCTTGGGGACCCATGGTTGGGAACCACTGCCTTAAGAGTCATTGCTCACTTTCCTTTGGATAGAGACAGAATGGTGCATCCAGAGGAGGGCCACCAAGATGGGATCTTGGGGACCCATGGTTGGGAACCACTGTCTTTGAGTCATTGCTCACTTTGGATAGAGACAGGATGGTTTATCCAGAGGAGGGGCACCAAGATGGGAGAAGGTCTGGAAACCAAGCTGGTATGGGGAACAGATAACGGTACTGGGTACATTTAGGATAGGTAAAGGTAAAGGTTCCCCTTGACAAGTTGTCCAGTCATGTCCGACTCTAGGGGGCGGTGCTCATCTCCGTTTCCAACCCACAGAGCTAGCGTTTTTTGTCCAAAGACAATCTTCCGTGGTCATGTGGCCAGTGCGACTAGATATGCAACGCCGTTACCTCCCCACCGTGGTTGTACCTATTTATCTACTCCCATTTTGCATGCTTTTGAATCGCTAGGTTGGCAGGAGCTAGGACAAGCGATGGGGGTTCACTCCGTTGTGTGGACTCGATCTTACAACGGCAGGTCTTCTGACCGTGCAGCACCCAGGCTTCTGCGGTTTAACCCACAGCGCCACCATGTCCCTGTTTAGGATTTAGGATAGCCATCTTCAAATATTTGAAGGGGCATCACATGGAAGAGGAGGCAAGCTTGTTTTCTGTAGCTCCAGAAAGGAACCAGTGGATAAGAAAGGTGATTTCACATAAACATTAGGAAGAATTTCTTGCCAGTAAGAGCTGTTTGACAGAGGAATGGATGGATTCTCAGAGCATGGTGGACTCCCTTTCACTGGAGATTTTTCAACAGAGATTAGACTGTCAGAGAAAGCTTAGCTGTGGATTTCCTGCTTCAGCAAGGGTTTGTATGTGTGAACTCAAGGAACCTTGGGATCTCTTCTGGCATTACAATTCTATGAGAATCTTGTATTCTGGACAAATTCTGCGTGATAGTTTACTAAACTGTAAGGCTCTTGAGATGCCATCACTACATAATATTTTCTGGGACAATAAAGGAAACATTAAAATATACATTAATACTGTATATCAATAGGAAACATTTTATAATAGTTGATGATCTTTATTATTGTACAATCAAGTATAAATTATCCTTTTAATATTTTTGCTGGGGGTTACTGCAGGTGTCTTATCTCCAAAGCATCCTCATACATTCCAGCCCAAAAGAAGCATCCTACCTCTCATTATCCTCAACCTCTGTAGTTCTTGTTATATCTTTGCAAGCTTCAGAAAAGACTCTGAGCTGTCACGGGAAGGACACTCAAATTTATCTACTTACTTGAAATCAATGAGGCAGTGCAAAATTTGGAAGCATGGGTACTCCTCGCAACCCTCCTCATTGGAGACTCCAAAAACAAAACCAGCTGGATCCATCTCTGTCAACAAATGAGGGACAATCCTTTTGTAAAGTTAATGGCTCTTGATTATCAAGACAAGACCAAACTGCCCTCAAATACTTGCCATTCAAATAAATAATTTGCAGCAATGAATTGTTCAGGGGGGAATCCATTTTTCTCCCAGCTACATGAGGATTGCAGCTGAGCTCAGAAAGAACTGGGAAGCAAGGAGAGAGTGGAGGATGATGTCATAGCCGCTAACACTCAGATAGTTTTAGAGCTTTGACCCAGTGAACCCTGGATCCACTACATAACTATGCTCACACAGGCTTCTGTCAGCTCTACTATGCTCACGGCATCTAAAAGGAGAAGAAAGAAAGCCGATATACTCATGTTTTATGGTCATCTCCTAGGTAACTGGTTACCCATTGTCTGATCAGAATGCTGGACCAACAAGATAATTGGTCTAATTTAATATAGCTCTTTGTAATTCAAAATAAAATAATGCCCCCAATTCCATAGCTCCATTCTTCTCTATAAATCCAATGCTGCTTCTATGTTCCTGAAAAAAAGGGGGGGGGAATGTAATTTAAAAATGGCATCTAAACAGCCATAGGGTAATATTGTTCGGAATGGGAATAGATTGTTTAGCAATAAATAGGAAAACAAGTTATTCATAAGAAGTGGCTGTGTGCTGTTCATATTATTTTAGTTAAAACTTGGAAATGCATCCAGCCAAAATCCTGTGAGAGCTTATGGATAACTCAGTGGAGGGGGGGGGAATGTAATTTAAAAATGGCATCTAAACAGCCATAGGGTAATATTGTTCGGAATGGGAATAGATTGTTTAGCAATAAATAGGAAAACAAGTTATTCATAAGAAGTGGCTGTGTGCTGTTCATATTATTTTAGTTAAAACTTGGAAATGCATCCAGCCAAAATCCTGTGAGAGCTTATGGATAGCTCAGTGGTTTAGGCACCCTGAAAATAAGATAGGGTCTTCTATTTATTTTTGCTCCAAAAACGCATTAGGTCTTATTTTCAGTGGATGTGCATAATAATTATTTTTTTCATGTACATTTTCATCTACATTTAGTCACATACAGTCCTGTCATCTGGTTGCTGCACAAGGGTGGAGGCCGGGGTTTCACTCAACTTATTTTGGGGGTAGGGCTTTTTATTACAGTACAAGCATCCTGAAAAATTATACTAGGGCTTATTTTTAGGTTAGGTCTTATTTTCAAGAAAACAAGGTTTTCAGGTTAGGTCTTATTATCAAGGAAACAAGGTACAGTATATGGTTGTGGAGCCAGAGGTTGGGAGTTCAATTCCCAGCCTCATGCCTCCATGACTGGGGCTGGACTTGATGATCTATAGGGTCCCTTTCAGCTCCGCAGTTCTAAGATTATCTTTGAGGGGGTGGCAGGCCCTTCAAGAACAAGAGTTTTCTTCCCTGGGCTTCCAGTTATGTCTTTTGGTTGCTGTGGAACTTCCTTTCTCAAAAACGTCTTAGTTTCAACCTGGATGGGTTGACTGGGTTGCCCCCACCGCCCCACCCAAGAATAATTTTTTTCTTGTTGGATGCCCAGATGTGTTTTTAGTACTCATAGTGGCTGGGTTCTTTCCACAATTCTGTTTCATTTGCCGGCAAGAAATTTGTGCTGATTTGGCATTCGAGAACAACATTTATTGTTGCTAGCCAGTGTCCTCTTATTTTTTTCACTCTCCAAATCCTGATTAGGATGCTTGATCTCTATAGAGTGTTGAACTTTAAAATGAAATGCTGGCTAACTACTATTGAGAGAAGTAGAACGGAAAACAAAGAGAAAGTTTATCCTTTCAAAAAGGAAGGAAGGCAGGCATAGGGCCAGGGGGGTCTTATTATTTTCCCCTCTAATATAAATCAGTGGATTCCCTTCCAGAGAACTTATGGTGCGTCTCTGAGGGCTTCAATAGAGATCAAGGTCTCTTGAAGTTAAGCCAATGCTGAGTGATGGTGACCTTTTCCATGGTTTTCTAGGTAGAGACTACTCAGAAGTGCTTTTTCGTAGGGTTTTCTAGGTAGGGACTACTCAGAAGTGGTTTTTCGTGCCCTCTCTCTGGGACTGTGCAGCTTTCCCAAGGCCATACAAGATGGCTATTCTGGGATGCCCAGTGGTTGAACTGAACTCCCAAACCTCCGGCTGGAAATTCATCAGAAAGGATCAATTTCGTTGAGAGAAACGTGAAGGAATCCGGAGAAGAACGTACAGTACGTGAGATGGATTGACTCCATAAAAGAAACCCCTGTCTTGAGTTGGAATAACTCAATGAGAGGACATTTTGGAGGTCAGAGGAGAGCAGACCAACAACCACAAAAGCCCTTGCTTCGGTTTCTGGCTGCAAAACCAACCAAGGAACCCAGTGAGACCTGAAAGACGAACACGTTGCCCTGATTCGGCCCAGTTTTGAGGAGCCCTGCAAGCGTTTCTGGGTTTTGCCTCCGAGGCAATAACAATAATGTGTTTAAGGTTGCCTGGTCTGCAGCATCCCATTTCCAGAGGTTTTAGGACCAAAAGCAGGCACATGAGATGGTAGTCCCTTGCAATGTAGAGGTAAGGGCTGTTGAGATGCTGCAGAGGCAGGCAGGCAAGCTACACTTTGGAGGGGGTGGAACTGCTTCTGGGCCATCTGATTGTGGGAACAACTATCAGGAGAATCCAGGCAAACAGTCCCAGAATGCAGGTAAAGCTCTACTAACCAGGTTTTTGCAACACAGAGTAATGGCAGTTGGGAAGATGGACACAATGCATCCAGCAGCTACAGCAGCTTCCATCATCCTGCTAGGGCTCTCCTCCCATGGATACTTTCATATAGCACACAGGACAGATGGGAAATTTGGTGGGGGGGCATGCTGCTGCCACCACCCCAGTTAGAAAATTTTCTAGACCCTGCTCAAATGTTGCCAGGGCTTGTACAAGAGGGCTCATGAGTGGTAATGCAGGAGCTGCAATGTTTGAGTTATGGTAAATGAACAATGGGTGAAAACCCATGTACCCATCTGCTCTCTTCACATTCCCCTTCCCTCTTTGGCCAGAATCCTATTGTTCAGTGTAGTAAATTGGACAGAGTAGGTCCACAGAGTCAATGGGGTTTAGAGAGTCAGCTCCTTTGTAAATTCTATTGATTCAAACTTGTCTACCCTAACTGTGACCTACGATGCTAAAATAATTCATAGCTAGAGTAGGCCCATTTGAATTAATGAAACTTATGGATCCCCTGTTGATCCAGTGGGCCTATTTTAGTGTGACCTATTCCCCTAACCAACAGGATCTTGGTTATTATGCTTTTTTGGTCACTATGGTGTATGTCTTCAGGCTGAGCCACTCATACGTGGTGATAGCTGGGAATGGATGAAGGTCAGTGCCAAGGATTTTACATTTTGATCAAGTTGCTTATACTTTAGTAGTCCAGAATCACATTTTGTTGCAAAATTAAGGCAGAAGATGTCATAAAAAGATAGTGGTTTTTGTTTTGTTTTTGTTGTTGTTGTTTGTCCCTCCCAGTGAGGGACTCAAGGTAGCTATGTCATTTATGTCACTCTCACATGAAGAACTATAAAAGGGGACCCAGATGTTACATACAGCACTGATGTTACCTGTCTGTCATGGGTTTGGAGGGAAAGTTCCATCCTATGGGGAGTGGAAGGCGGGACATCAGGAGGAGGGGCTGTACTGTATATATAGGTGAAGCGTGTGTGGAGAAGGAGACGCTGGGATGTGAAGAAGCAGCAGCTGGGAAGAAGAAGCTGGTGTGGGAGTCTGTGTGTCAGACAGGGTACTACTGTGTGTCAGAGTACCAACCTGATAGGTTCAGGTGTCTGTTGGTTAGCCAGAACTGATAGGTTCAGGGTCTGTGCTTCAAGTTAAGGGTTCTGTGTGAACCAAACTGTGTGTATGTATGAGTGAAACTAAGCCACGTTACTAAATCTTATTCACCTGATCATTTTATTTTCCCTGTGTGTTGTATTTAAATAAACCTTATTCTTTTATTTGTT